TCGATTGATGTTTGAATTTGTCTGACCTGGCGATCGACCCCGTTGCAGCAGGAGATCCTTGATCTCTCCGAGCGGTCGCAGAAGGCAAAGTACCTCAGACGATCCAGGGCTAAGCTGAATATTTCATACAAGAGGTGAGAAATGACAATTTTGCTATGCTCTGCGGCAACTAGCAGTTTCTTCGGACCGACATCCTTCCAAGTACAAGACGCAACTGAAGGTTTGCCGCTTTTCACGTTCACTATACATTAATGCGGCTTTCCAACCATGGTCAGCGCAAAAGAAAAGCAGAAATGTTAAAAAGGCTCTATAAGTGGATTGAGTTTGTTTACAAGTGAATGGCTGGTTTAGGCAGGTGCGCTGCTCCTGTCCGACACAACAGCCATCGGCTCAACCCTGCCATTCCTAATGTTAAATTCCACCTCTGGATTATAATGTTCAACCCGATGTCTCATTTGTCTCATATGGCCGTGGCTGTTGTCTTTCACGCTCATGATTTCTTGTCATGCAGTGGATGCACCACGAAGTCTCAGTTGTCGCTGTAACGTATTCACGATGATAGAGTTCCTGAGAAAACGGCAAATGAGTCGTTCGACATAAATCATCAATTTTTCCACCACCTGATCATCGCTTTCTTTTTATCATTATTTCAAATTGTTGTCTTTAGATAGCCTGACAAACCTTGCCATGGAAACCCGCGGGCAGCAACGGCAAACCAGGCAGTGGCAAACAGCAACACCACCCAAGGAAACTGCAAAAGATGAACCCTTTGCAAAGGCATCTTAAATTGAGCTTTGACCCACCTCATGCAACTCAAAATCTTACATTCCTTTCGTTGTTTACCTTTGGTGGACCATATGCGCCGGGTCGCTCGCCAGACAACATTTCGGCATTTTAATTGTCACACCTGCGCCATTTGCGTCACCAGACGCCGCCGCCACCGCTGTTGCGACAGTTGTGAACGCCCTGCACGCGCTCACCAAATTCGCTTCGGCCAACTTTAGGATGGCCATTTCATTGTGGATCTTGTGTCACATGCTTAGGCTGCATAAAAAGATGGTGACTGCATGCTGGTGATCCATCAAATTGGTTCAGTGACTATCCCACAGCCTCCACACTTCGTTGAGTGACCACCCCTCAGTCCGACGAGTCTAAATTGATGGCATTGTGCTGACGTTACATATGCCATAACTACGCGTACCTATGTGCCAGGTGTGTCTGGTTTCTCGCCAGAAATTTGTGAAGATAAGAGCAAAGATTTCCGGGTCAGACAGTGTTAAGCAGCCTGTTCCCATTTAGCCTACATGAAATATCCTGCAGGGCAACACAGCTTCTTTGTAGGAACTGAAAACGTGTAAGATAGCATTGCACGTGCTTGCACTTTTCAGCTTAATCGATGACATTTGAAAAAATGGTTTAACACGGCACGTTTACACGGCCCCCAAAATTCAATCAAGTGAATTTGATTTTAGAGCTCTACATGAAAAATTCACCCTAAGTCACCAGTCTAAACCAGCATTAGCTGAGTTTCTTAGAAAATCTGACATGTGGTCTTTGAGTTACAGCGAAGCGTGTTTGGAACTACCGGGACCATCGCGTCCATGAGCCTGCCTCCGGCAGGTGGCCATGCCTCCCTATTCCAAAGTCCTCGCCGACAAGCTGCGGTCCCAGTGGCATGAACTGCAGTGTGACAACTCCGATGCAGCCTCCCACTCCGTGTCCTACGACTCCTCGTCAGCGTTCAGCTCGCGTAGCTGTAAATCGAGGAAGAGCCTGAAGAGTTCAAAACTCAAGGCAGGTGGCGGCAAGGGAGAGGATCCCAACGTGTGCAAATGCGGTGTTGGATGCAAATGTAAAGTGGGAGAGCCCGCTGTCACCGATGGTCTGCAAGAAACTCCTCGGAGCAGCGTCCCTCAGTGCCCTGATATTGGACCCGCTGACCCGTACGGCCAAGCTAGGGAAAAGTCTTTCGCTGCCGCCTCGCCTGGCCAAGGCAGAGAAAAGTCTTTCGCTGTCCCACCTGATCAAGCGCCCAAGCTTGGAAGTGGAGGTGCAAACACCAGCCCGTTTAAAGGCGTTTTAGCGGCGCTGAAACAACTTGGGTCGAGTCTTTTTGTAGCTCTGTGTCCTTGTTTAAACAAGAAAAAGTGAGAGGGGTAGAAAAAGTTAGTGCTGGAGTATTTTAGTCCTTTGTTTCTTCGATTTGCAGTCGTGTGATATCGGACCTCGGTTTTTTGGCACAGCACGCTTACTGCAAGTGTTTCGCCGCTCTGTAACTATGAGACGACCAATCAAAACGTACCGCTGCGGGCGACCATATTGTTACCGCTTGAACCAAATACACCTGGCTCGAGCTACCTCGGTGTGATGCCAAGAGGAGGCCTGCCAAAAATGCGGAGCGTGGCTGTGTGAACTATGCCATTTTGTAATGCCTTGACTTGCTATTAACATATTGATATCGAAGACTACGAAGTGCTCGAGAAGTGTGTTCTACCAAACTTTCACCGGTTTCGGTTTTCACGTGTCCACGGTGACGCTGTTGGCCCAGCAGTTGCATCTGGTGATAAATGACCTAATAACTAATGAAGAGCGTTACGGTCTAGCGACGTGAAATGGGTTAATCAAACCAATATGTTTCATTGTTTGAAGGACGGCTCACATGCCTCTCTACATAGGCCGTACATTGGCAGCGGCATGCGATGTATAGTAATAATGACCCCTAGCTTACTTCTCCAGGAGTGACAGGTAGTGCCACCCCTGGACAAATAGGCTAATGGCATTAGTGGCATAGGTTCTAACAGCGGTTATCATTGTACAAACGATGTCACGAGTGCAGCATTTATTTAGATCAGATCAATTGACATCAGTTACAATGGCAGTACCTGCTACTGCTTTGGCACGCTCTCACAACTAAAGCACTGAATTGGATCTTGATTAATTTTGCATCCTCCTCAACACAAAAAGCCTTAGACAAGCTCCTTGGTGTTTGCTTTTACATGCATTAATATTAGCACGCTCTTCCAACTCATGCGTTGTCTTCATGTTGCTGCTAGCTGCATTTGTGACCAATGATTCGATCTTGTACGCTATTAGCATGCATGGACGTCATTGCGGCACGTGATGCATTCCGTCCAAGCCGTTTCTCCGTTCGCCGACGCCATCGACAGCTGGAAGCACAAGGTTAGATTATCGTCGGCTTTGAAGCTTGTCCCACAGCTGATTAATTCACACTCGCCCACCACGCGACGCCACCAGCACAGAGGGCGCTACTCCCAGTTGAGAAGAGGCATTGGAACACGACAGCTGTTACATTCTCGAGAGGCTGCGCAAGTCCAGGGGACACTAAGTGCAAGTAGCGAACATTCGTCATGAGGGGAATTGGTCCGCTCTGAAACACCACCCCGTGTCCACCGCAGTGTTGTGCTTACAAACAACCAGCGCTGCTTCCCAGCGACGTGGGACCAATCATCGTCAATGAATGAAGACTCATCCCCAAACAATTTTAATGAAGTTATTGGCTCGCATTGGTTCTCTTTGAGCCTTCGCAACTTCATCGTGGACCAGCACTCGACTGATTCGCTAACAACAGCTGACTCCGCATGCTCGGCCGGTGACGTACCCCCTCCACACCACCAGCATGGTGTGTCGCTGCAGCTTCTGCCGCCGCATCTTCGCAGCGCTCTGCCCGTGCATCCCCGTGTGCTGCTACCTGTGCCGGCGTTCCCGGCGGCCCAAGCGCCGCGTCATGGTCGAGGTGCGGACCGTGGACCCCTCATTGTACACGGTGCCGGACACGGACAACAATCCGTCCTACCCCGGCACCCCGTCCTACCCCGGCACCCCGTCCTACCCCGGCACCCCGTCTTACCCCGGCACCCCGTCTTCCCTGAACTCCTCGCCCTCCCTCGACACCCCGCTGGATCCACAGAAGCCCCGCCGCCGTTGGGATAACCGCCCGCCAGCCTGGACAACTGAGCCCCACAAGGAGGAGGTGACATGACGCTACTTTAGAAACTTGTGCACTCTGCTCCATCGTCAATAGCGAGAGACCGCGGTGAAGAAGATTCCTGATGTCTCGTTTGCGCTGGAAATGGCCACGTTAGGAAAATACTCCATGCGTTCCAGGTTTTTTGGTACGCTTGTTTCAGTGTTGATCTTACTCGTGAAGGCCTCAGCGCCGCCTGAGCGTGTTTGGTGACCTGTTTTAATCGTTCCAGAACTGGTCAGTTACTTTTTTCATTCGTCGGGGAGATTATGTCAGTTGATGTGCTGCATTAGTCAAACCGATGTGTAGAGAAGTGAGCTGCACCTTCAAAACGGAAGGCCTCATAGCACAAGAACAACTGCCCGACAATTCCATTGCTTTATCTTCCACAAAGCAGTCTCTCCCTTCTCGTGACATGGGCTAGCATAGTCACGAGAAGATGCGTGATGACGTCATTGCGTCGTGATGACGTCCGTCAGCCCACTGCCGCCTTTGTGCTGTGTCTGATGGTGGGTGAGGTTGTCGTCTTTCAGGCCGCTCTGATTCCACAAAGCTTGCCGCATGTGGTCATCTCTGAGCGCTGGTGCTGGATGACTGCGCCATGTTTTAGGTCAGCGTGCAAACTCATTAACTATGGTCTGTCGATGTGATCAGGCGTTTTACGGCCGGGTGTACTGGCGAATGAATGTGAACGCGTTTTGCGTGTGTTTGGATCCGCTCGGCTTACAGCACGGTCCAGCTTATTAACTCATCCTATAACAACACAGGCCCGTAATAAAACACCTGCATCATCTCGAGGGTGCTGGTGAGAGGGGACACAAAGTCTGAAAGGCCCCCCGCAGTTTTTGAGTGTTGGCATATTAAACATTATAGCCATGTCAGCGTCTGTTTGGTGGCTGATCAGCAAACTGCATTTAATCATACGTCTCTGATAGTATGTCATATCGCCGCCGTTTGCGCAACGTCAGTATCGCAACTTAGGCTCCAGCCTTTCCTCGGGCATAAAACTCATCAATGTTTTGTTACGAGTTCATTCATAAAACAACAATGAGTCATACGATCAGCACGCAGCATACAGTGACATCATGACAGCAGGTCGAGTGGGGTGAGCATCGCGAAACGTCTACCAACAACCTAACGAAAGAAAAGAAATACTGAATACAGCTTCGCACCCTTGACTGACATTCGTCTCCAGCTGGGCATTAATAACTTATTGGCTACGACGCCGCACTGGTCGCTGATCTCGCACTAGTGCACCGCCCGGTCTCAACACAGTTCTCGCTTCCATCTCGCGTCAGTGCAACGCATCTCGCTACTTCTTCGAAAACACGGCAAGAAATTCACTCCCACGTGCAACACTCGGTTGGTATCACACTCCGACTGTCTCCCGACAAATCCGCCCAAAAGAGTCTCGCGATCACTCGTGTCCGAATACTGTCGTCGCCAGGCTGAATACTGCCGTCGCCCCGAGGGCTGCAAACATCCCGCTAGGCGCATGGAACCGCGATACGAGGAACACGAGGGCCCTTCCCCCAACGCGAGGAACTCAAGGGCTCTTTCCCAGCGCTGGGAACCTTTCGCAGCCAGCCGATATATCTGTCCAGTGCCTGCCGGTCTCCCCACGCCACCCCTCTTTGGATCAGTTGGCAGCCTCGTGCTGCACGCGGCGACCGGTCTAGACCTTCTGTGCGAAGGCAACCCGGTCTAGACCTTTTGTGCGCGGCAACCGGTCTAGATCTTCTGTGCGCAACGACCGGTCCGGACCTTCTGTGCGCGACGACCGGTTTGGATCTTCTGTGCGTGGCGGCTCGGTCGACGCCTTCTGTGTGCGGCGATCGGTCTGGACCTTCTGTGCGCGGCGGACCGGTCTGGACTTTATGCGCGCGGCGATCGGACTAGACCTGTGCGCGGCGATCGGTCTAGACCTTCTCGTCACTGGAGGACGTGTGCAGGGTGCCGTAGATCTCCTCCTGGAACCGGTCCAGGTCCACGTAACCCTGGTTCTGATCCTCCAGCAGCACCTGCGGACAGGCACAATAGTCAGCAGGCGTATTTCTGGCGTGTTTATCGGCTTTCTAAGTGCGATGGTCATTTGGCGGGTTATTTGATACTGTGAGACTTCACTTCAGCGCCCGGGCCGATCTCTGCAGCTGGTCCGTTGAATTTCTGCGTTAGAGAAGGGCTCTTAAGGATTGAAGATTATATTATTTCTGTTTAACATATATTAAAGGGAGCTCACAATTTATACCGGACCTTTACCTGGGCATGTTTGAACGGCTTAGGACACGCGTATCTTGAGCTAAAAATGTAATATGATATTAGCATTCGCTTTACGACAGAAATTGTTTTCACCATGGTCTCTGCATAGGCCCAAAGCCTGCAGTTGCAATCACTTGCGATTGCAGTTATCCAACAAAACTGTGTTAATGCTTAGGCGGTGAGTTTCAGTCCTTGTCGCACCCCACCAGACGTTAGCCTCAGACTCTTGTACCCAGGCGTCCCATTCACCGGCGTCTTTCCTGCCATTTGACCCCTTGACCCCTCTTGGCCCAATTTAATCTTATGGTGTACTTATGAACTTAGCCCATCATACCGTGGACGGGTTTCAATCAAATAACCTCCCCCTGCCCTTAACTGACCTTTTAAGTCCTTCTCTTCCGTCCCATCCACGGAACTCTCGTCCTCGTTTGTAGCTGCGAGCCTCCGAGTCTTCCCCATTCAATCTACCCTCTAATCCTATTCATCCCTCTAATCTCCGTAAATAGCCACTGCAGCTGACGTGCCTTAATCTCTTCTCTATCTGACCTCTGACTAGCCTCCCCTCCCCTCTGACCTTTGATTGACCTACACTCCCCCTCTGATCTCTGACTGACCTTCTCTCCCCAGCTGATCTCTGACCGACCTCCCCAGCCCGTCTAACCTCTCATTGACCTCCCCCCCCCCACTGACCTCAAGGTCGTTGCGCAGCTCGACGAAGCTGGGCCGCCAGCTGGGCTCTGCGGCCCAGCAGCTGCCGGCCAGCTGGTACAGCTGCGGGTGACAGTGGTCGGGCCGCTCCAGCCGGTAGCCTTCGCGCACCGATCGCATGACCTCGCGCGCCGACAGGCCCGGGTACGGCGTCGAGCCTGCGGCAGAGTTGGCCAGAGTTGTGGAGCGGAGTCGGTGGGAGTTGTCGGGGAGAGTTGGCGGGAGTTGCCGGGCGGAGTTGGCGGGGGTTGCCGGCCGGAGTTGGCGGGAGTTGTTGGGCGGAGTTGGCGGGAGTTGTCGGGTGGAGTTGGCGGGCGTTTCGAGCAGAGTTGTAGAAGCATTGACTGGAGAGTTGTGTGGTTATCAAGTGAATGGATGTTGAGCATTTAGGAGTTCACCGAGCTCACGAGTGAATGCGGGCAATTATAGATGTTAGGGTATTGCTTAACATTTGTGCAGCTTTCAAAAGCTTTGTGCGGGCACAATTTGATTCCTTTCTGAGCTTCAGGACGGTTCGTCAGAGTCAGTCAGATAAATAGTGCATTAAAAGCCATGCTATCGAAACAACCGTGGAACTACCGTTTTATGGTCAGGACTACGAGGCATCCTAAATGACAAATAATAGCTCATTCAACTACCAATTGGGCCGATTGCACCCTTATGGGCACAAAGGACGTTAAATTGCGTAATTTTGTCAGAAGTTGTTTTTCAAATGACATTACTGGCGCTTACCGAAAACAAGGTTCGCTGAAGCAACGAAATGGCAAACAGCCGCGAATGGGGCTGTCCCACAAGGTAAGGCCAGCAAAAGTCAGGTGTCATTATGCATGCCGGCATGGTTGCCAGAGTACCGAGGATGGTGGCAGGTGCTAGAGCTCAAGTGCTGATGGTATCACCCAGAAGATGAGCTTATCCATCATGCTGAACTTACCCAGGGTGATGATCTCCCAGAGGAGGATGCCGAAGCTCCAGCAGTCCGTCTGCTGGTTAAACGTGTTGTGGTACAGGGATTCGGGAGACATCCATCGGATGGGCAGAGCACCCTGGTGGTGGAGAGGCGAATTATGAAAAGCACGGTCAGGGGGCGGCACGCTTTCAAAGCCAGGCGACCGCTCTTCTACGTCGAACGTCCACCCCCTCCCCCGTCCCCAGAGTAATTGGAGCTGCTACGTCACATGTCAATAATTAATGCATATATCAAGTATAAACATTGCGTGACTGCGTTTTGTAAGGAGGTGCTTCTGGATCATCGGCCACGTATATAGCGGGAGGATCAGAACGTTACTGCTCTGCCGACCTGAACACGACTCGCCTCGCGTCATTTGTGTATTTAAATAGAAATCTTCTACGTGACCACGATCCCGGCGATATGGCCAATGGGGCTCCGTGAAGAAAAGTCGGTCGGTCATGGTCGGATGTGAGCAATGAATGAGATCACTCGAAGCTAAGAATGAGCTTACTTTTCTAATGAAGAACGTGTTTTAAGACGTTGTCGTGCGATGACTTGACAGCATGCCTCTGGGATTAGGGAACACTGTTCTCGAAAGGAGGTGAAGCTACTTGAACTGCTCAAAACAGACATGTGTTCTCACCTAAGCGTCACGTCACTCCTGTGAGGAATCTATGAACGTCAAATTTTAAAAAAATGACCCATATTGCGTATTGGTGTAGCCATTTCAAAAACCTGCATCTTACCCTATGCTTTGGTTCAAAGACTTCGGCGCTTATTTCCTTGACGCTCCGGGACATGCCGAAGTCGGACACCTTGCACACCTTCGTATGGTCCACCAGAATGTTGCGGGCTGCCAAATCGCGGTGGATTATCTGCGAAAGAGGCAGAGCATGATGCACGAGGCAGTTGATGTGGTATCACATGATGCATGAGGTGGTTGATGTGGTATCACATGATGCATGAGGTGGTTGATGTGGTATCGCATGATGCATGAGGCGGTTGATGTGGTATCACATGCTGCATGAGGTGGTTGATGTGGTATCACATGCTGCATGAGGTGGTTGATGTGGTATCACATGATGCATGAGGCGGTTGATGTGGTATCACATGCTGCATGAGGTGGTTGATGTGGTATCACATGCTGCATGGGGTGGTTGATGTGGTATCGCATGATGCATGAGGCGGTTGATGTGGTATCGCATGATGCATGAGGTGGTTGATGTGGTATCACATGCTGCATGAGGTGGTTGATGTGGTATCACATGCTGCATGAGGTGGTTGATGTGGTATCACATGATGCATGAGGCGGTTGATGTGGTATCACATGCTGCATGAGGTGGTTGATGTGGTATCACATGCTGCATGAGGTGGTTGATGTGGTATCGCATGATGCATGAGGCGGTTGATGTGGTATCGCATGATGCATGAGGTGGTTGATGTGGTATCACATGCTGCATGAGGTGGTTGATGTGGTATCGCATGATGCATGAGGTGGTTGATGTGGTATCGCATGATGCATGAGGCGGTTGATGTGGTATCACATGATGCATGAGGCGGTTGATGTGGTATCGCATGATGCATGAGGCGGTTGATGTGGTATCGCATGATGCATGAGGCGGTTGATGTGGTATCACATGCTGCATGAGTATTGCCGTGACGAGGTGATCGGTTTCGAAGTGTGTGAGACCAACACACGCGATAACGATGGATCACTGTATGATTGGAATAAAAAACATTCATTGCATTCAAGAGTTAAAAGATAAAAAACATTCATATTCAAAAATGTTCAACAACATGATGAGTGATGCAATGGCATATGACATCAAATTCCTTGCATTCTTTTCACGTTTAGGCTACGTTTACTATCTCATCTTTTTACTGCACGTCCGAAATTCACAACAGAAGTCAAAATTACTTTCTGACGGCATGCCCGTAAAAGCAGTAAAGCTCGCGGTAGCTCTCACAGGGCACCACCTTACCTGCTTAATCACACTAAAATACCCTTAAGCAGTGGCTGTTAGCCGCGTATCACTGATATGCGATCTATATATCCCTGTAACCTATTCCACTGTTGGCGACAGCCCATGATGCGCTTACTATGGCAGTGAGCACGTTATTGTGACATCACATAGCTTGTGTCAACATCTTCGTGACATGCCCTCGTGCCGTAGTCGCCCACACCTTACGTCCGAATGACCCACAGCATAACCAAGTCGGAGAGATCCCTTTGGTCGACATTAACAACGTGCTGCCTCTTGGCGGGATGCCGGCAGTGTGTCATCATGTCGAGTTCAGCCGCACCGCACCGCTCGTTAAAGACACCACGGCATACCACGGCAGACTACGCCATCGTTGACGACTACGACATTTCCTTACGTCCGGATGTCTTATAGCGCAATGTTTGTTGGCGTCATTCATCAAAGCCCCTCCGCATGTCAGCGTCTCCAGCCAGTTAGATCAAGTTCTTTTTGGAAAGAATTACCGTGACCCAGTCTGATCTCCAATTCATAACTATCTAATTCAGTCTGCCCGCACACCAGCTTTTCACAAATTCTAAACCCAGTCCTGTAAATCCATCATAGCGAAGCGATCCGTAGAATAGTCGATGCCGATCCGTCACACTCAAGTCACGTCACCATTTTAGCAAAAACTCCTAAAAACAACAAGCACAAAAACCAACAAAATTATATGACATCATAAATATTTACTACCGCCAAGCTTGGCCCTAAGATCAATATTTACGTTTGAAATATACCTGAATTCTCATCTTCACAGCCTATTGCGATGCAATGTTTGAATTCAGTCTAACCCACGCTATATGGACCGTAAACATCCCGATCTAACCCAATCCAACCCTCCAAATAACCCGAAACCTGTCGATGCACGAAATCCATTCAGAGCTTCAGCGGCGGAACCACGTACCCCTTTGTTGGCGATGTACTCCATGCCGGCGGCGACTTGACACGCGAACAAGGTCAGGTCAGGCGAGGTCAGCACGGCCGAGTCGTGTGAGAAGTTGTAGTAGTTGTGTCGGCCTCGGTTCTCACGTAAGTACGTCAGCAGCTTCCCGAACACCATGTACTCCATGATGACCAGGACGGGGTCTGCGGGCGGGGGTCCTCGTCATGCCTCACGCGGGTACGTTAGCGGCTTCCCGAACACCATGTACTCCATGATGTCCAGGACAGGGTCTGCGGGCGGGGTTCTTGGTCATGTGCGACACTCGCCACCGAAACTATGACAGCATGGCGAAAATGGAGTGAGAACGATAACACGCGGACTTTTAAAATGGTGCCGTGTAAGCGTGGACGTACATTGACCTGAGGCATCTACAACTGGCAATCTTTGTAGGCTACGAGTAGCGTGAATCAGGGAGCTAAGCGGTCTGAGGTTCATCCGTTCCGCTACGCAAGTACAGGTGCGCTTGATCCTTGATTCACTTTATGAACCGGGCCACGGGATCGGTTCATCGGTCATGAATCTCTTAACGGACAGCCAGATGGAGAGAAGATAATTGTCAACCACGTTTTTTGTTGTTCTGTTCTCATGACGAGTGAGAAGCGTGAACGAAGAAAAAATGCTAGAATATTTCACAACTTAATGTTATTGTTAATACTTACTACCATTTTTTATCCTTAAGACTTAGTAGCTTAATGATATTATTTATTTTCTTATGATGAAATGCGCACGCAAGCTTTTATCTAACATTGTGTCACTTTTCTAATTGATTTAGCAGGGGCTGAGCGTAGATGCTTTTTGCATGGAAGTGGCATAAGCCCATGCAAATCGCCCTAACTGTGCTAAATATGAATTATGGATGAGTTGAGGAAATACCGCAGATTTCCTGTTGTGAAAAAATTACAGGAAATGCGGGTTTTAAGACCGCTTAACCTAAATAAAATTCATTGAACATGGCAGGACGCATGAATCAGGCTGGCTACACGTAGATCTCGCAGTCACGATCAGTGATCTTAAGGTTCTTAAAACAGTGAACAGCTCTTCCCAGAAGAACGTCCCATCGTCACAAGAGGATTAACGAGACCTTAACCCAGAGAGTGGCAAGTTCCGTGAACTGCAACTAGTCTCTATCCTCTGCGGAGAAATCGTCTGCTCTCCTCCACAGCCACCCCTTGCGGAACGGCTCTTGCGCGGTGACCGGCACATAGTGGCACCTGCGCAGTGACCTGCGCACAGTAACCCTTGCGCGGTGACCTGTGCACTGGGACATCTGCGCGGTGACCCCGGTGCTACCCACGCATGCTGCGCGGTGACCCGAGGCCCGTGACCTTACCCTCGACGGTGCAGCAGCCGAGGAGGGTCACCACGTTGGGGTGACTGCCCAGGTCTTGCATAATTCGCAGCTCACGCAGCAGGTCCTGCATGAACAGAACAGAGCGTCAATGTCATGAGAAGAACAGAGAGGAGGTGACTGCCATCACACGGAATGACTGCGGCATGCGGCACAAAACGGTCGCACCACGCTAAACAGGACGGTCGTGCCGCACAGAACGGACAAGTCACACAGAACGGACAAGCCACACAGAATGGACGAGCCACACGGAGCGGACAAGCTGCACAGAATGGTCGTGCCACACAGATCGGACAAACTGCAAAGAACGGACAAGCCGTACAGAACGGACAAGTTGCACAGAATGGACAAACTGTACAGAACGGACAAGCCGCACAGAACGGACAAGCCGCACAGAACGGACAAACTGCACAGGACGGACAAGTCGCACGGAAAGGACAAGCCGCACAGAACGGATGAGCCGCGCAGAGTTCAAAGTTCCAAAGCGTCTAGGCACGCACAAATTCATGTGTTCAATATGAGACGTCTCGGCATATCGCCACGCGAATTTTATTTCAGATGAGAAAGGACGACACTATCCTTTTGGCTTTTTAGTCTGGAGAGTTTTTGTGCTAAAAGTCAAAGCGCAGGGATCACTCATTGCTTGAACTGATGTCAGTTAAATTCAGCACATTACTTGGAATAATCACCATGTCAATCCCATGTCATTCGTCCTTTACAGAGTGCTGAGACTGTAATCGATGGGATGCTGTGACGTGTTCGCCTGTTTACCTGTTTTTCCTTGGACGTGGCGTTTTCCTTGACGTTTTTGACGGCCACCAGGAGGGTTCCCTGGTGACCCCCGATGTTGTCCACTTCAGCTCTCCAGACCTGAGGTCAGGAGAGGTCAGGTCATGACCCTCAGGTCAATGACGGGGGCTACGGGAGGTGATATTTGTGAAAACATATACAGCACTTAGGGCGTTTGACCCAGACTATGGACCAAAACGTTTGTGGGATCTTACATCGTATTTGAAAAGAACCTGTACGCCACTCAGTAAAAACTCATGGGAAAGAAAATGTGAATGCAGCTCGGTACAGTCGTTGGAAGGGTAATGAGACTGCAAGGAAAAAACTATTTAGGGACAGGATGTAGCTACGTTACGACACGACGAACTGCATGACGTGGGGGCCACAGCCCGTGGACGTTCTGGTGCAGCCAATGCCAGTCAGACGCGTCATCCGTGTGTCCCGGGTTCGACTCTCATGAACAACGGGATATTTGAGAGCACTTCCAAACATTGCACAGGGGAATGCTCTGAGCTTTGTGCAAAATTATACATTGGAGCTTTCATTGCATTATTCCTGGACATGTAGCAATCGTCCCTGAAAAACGGTCATAATCTCTGTCATTCCGCACGGCACCACTAACGGACTTGTCACGCCAGCTGAGGCAGTTCTTATTCATTCTCCATCGATTTAGTTTTTACGTGAACGCTGGTCATGGAACATATGATCACATGGCATGCACCTAATCGCAGTCTTGTGGTCACGTGTCTGATAACCACACGTGATTAAGAAGTTACGCTGAAGCGGCGGCCTTTCAGGATGTAATTTTATCGGATTAGTGAGACAGCAAAAAAAGGCAAAAACTTTTCTGCAGAGATTCGTGACGTCGTAAATCGGGCTGCACAAAAACATGAAGCACTTGTAGCCGTCACGTTATTAGGGGGTTTCTCAAGCCAAACGATGTGCTGAATGGTGGTTTCCTTGAACGCAGGAGGGCGTCGAGTCAAAAAACAAGCACTTTTGCACATCGGTTTTGTACGTTGGTAGCTATAATTCTGCCAATAATGGATCTTCATTATGCCATGAGGTGCCAGTCAAACAAGTTCACCCGTGCTGAAATCGAAACTTTTCCTGCTGGTATCAAGTTCTCGCCGGTTTCAAAAGATTTGATTCGGCGAATAAGATACACTTATTGGATACACAAGTGTAGATATACGACTAGATACACAAGTGTAGGGAAAACTGGGCAGGTGAATGCAACAACACACAGGTCACCGGGTGGAACTTAAGAACAGATCACCGAGATTAGTGTCGTCTGAGAAGCAGACCCCGTGTCACTGGAACGGGACACTGGCCAGACGAGGTGACCTGGAGAGAAAGGTCGCTCGACCTCTCGGCGGAACGGCCCTGACCTGGCGAGGTGACCTGGGGATATAAGGTCGCTCGACCGCCAGGCTCAAAATCCTTCCAATAGATGGCCCTCAGGGCCTCTGAGAAGTTAGTGGCATTTACTCATATTCCTAAACGTGCGTTTGAAAACCAGCCAAGGAGGCGATTACACATCAGAGCAGGAGTTTCTCCGCGAGTGAGGCACAAGCCTCTTGTTTGCATGGCTCACCCCTTCGGCCCAAAAATGATTCCGCGATTCATGCCGTTCACGTATCAAAATTTGTCTGACAGGTGTTCGAGAAAAATATAATTTTGTTTCATAGGTGGCCGCACATCAAAGGAAGCGTTCCACATTCATATGGGTTTTTGAACTGCTGTTTCCAACTCTGCACTTGTTAAGACCTGGGCACCTCTGAGCTATACTTCCACGAAAATGGAAAACGATGCCGGGAAGAGTATTTTAAAGCCACATCGGCATTCATGAAGCCATAATAACGTCATTCAAATTCACCATTCCATAAGCTATGCGGCGATCGAAGCGAAGGAAAATATCATCGTCGTGGTGCTCATATCTGGCGTTCATGAGCGCAATTATCAAATATGACGACCGTCAATTGGCTCTCAATCATTGTTGTGCAAGGCATAATGACGCAATCAAACTATAAAGCATTGAGGAGCATGTTTACTAAACAGAGAATTGTTCTGTCTGGAGCAGTCTTTTTTACTTAAAAGGTATGTCCATGGTTGTACGTGAGCTTGTTTCATCATATCTAACGTTTGCTTCAATATCTTCTCAATATCTTCAAATGTGACACATTTCCTTTAAGTAATATTTTACGGGGCGGCAATGTCGTTGATTCCAACGTCGCCACCTAAACACGCGACTCTCGCTACTAGGCTACCCCGGGGGAACAACGGTCCAACCAACCGGAATCTGTCTGCGCCTTTCTCCCCTGCGGACGTCCAACCCGCCGCCGTCCGTCCTCTACATGACACTACAAGGCTGCTACATGGCTGCATGACGGCAGTGCACCACCGGCAAGGCGGCGAGGACGACTCGGGGTGCCGCGCCCAGACCGGTTTGGGCTGTGGCCACCCCGAAAAACCGGACCGCCCCACTCGGAGCGGTGTGCAGCCCAGTATCTGAAGGTTACGGTCAGGGCGCGATTGATTGGTAGGCGCGTCACATCCCGCTGATCGGGGCTGTGGTGAGCTAAGCAGTGCCGTAGCATAGCTCGGATGGTGAGGCGCTTCGTCACTAGGCAACGAGCGACGTTGAGGGAGGGCCTGTGTCTGACCTGGACACGTCGGGTCCATCACAGGATGCACGTGATGAGTTTAAAAGTTATTGGTAGAGTCATATTTTATATAATAAGTCAGTATATTTGATAATATATTGTTTTTACATGTTATCTTATGACACGTTCCATTTCATATTCTCTTTTATTTCATGGCATGTTATGCTCTAATGCATTATATTTAAGGACTACATTTTATAAGTTGAAAAATATTAATGTTATCATTTTTCAGTTTATTAATGACTTACATCTAATACAGCAGAAAACTAAGAAGAAACCACGTTCAGGGGCATGTGTATGATAGTACGCAAAAATCGGGAGCACGGATTGCGTACAGCATGCAGCACGTACGCGATGAACCCCACGGCAAACACGAAGAGGTTGCGAGCGTTCGGCGGCAGACCGGAGAGATCGCGAGCGCTCGGCAGCAGACCGAAGAGATCGCGAGCGCCCGGCAACAGACCGAAAGCACTCTCCCTCCAAATTGCAACGACACCAAAACGGTCCTTTGTTTCGGCACATCTTTTCTCACGAGTAGTGCGCTGCAGCACACCCGCCGCGCACACGCTCACACAATGCCACGCGGTGTCACAACCCATGGTTCCCACGCATACGCGCTCGGCCCCGCCTGGCTCTGCCGCCGTGGCTTCGGGCTGAGAGGTGGTGTTTCGTTTCGGAGGGAGTTTTTGTGAGCTTGGCTTCGTCGCGCAGCCATAATCTGAGGCTCAGTTCTTGTCGCCTTTCTCTTTCTTTATTTCGCCCCGGCCGGTCTTCGAAGCTATCGTCTGGTGTTTCTGATGGACGGCGCTTACCGTCAGGGCTATGAGGGCCGTGTTGCTCTAAGCAGGTTGGGATATGTCACTGAGTCCCCTTTTCGTGAGAAGAGTGATGCAGTGTGGTTCGGATGAGCTCAGTGGAATTGAAATGATGTGATTTTAACTCGTGTTGTGATGGTTTTTCACTAACGTTATGCTCGTCGTCTCACAAGGGATTTTTGTTCTCCATGTGCACTCAAAGAAGCGAAATCCGCAAAGCTGATTACTACAGGGCTCTGACAGTGGTCATCCATTCGGATAACTTAAGGTGACCCCAGGTTTTTAATGCGACGGTTGCAAACTGAGATTTTAGGAGTTTTGAGCAATTTATTCAGTTTCTTGCAAGTGCACGGGTAAAAATCGCGTGGAAAGTCGCACTTCATCATATATCCACGGTGGAATGCATAGAATACTTGGCACACCAAAAGCTAGATGGTGGAGGTGATAGCACTTTATCAGAGTTATTCATTAGTTATTAATCTATGTTTATCGCATTGTCATTAGACTGGTTAGATAATTGTATTGGTTGCTTAGAGGAATGAGCGTCGGAACTCGATGCGGTCTGGGATGGCCAACGCCCAGACATTTAAAAAAGTAGAATACCAGGTCCGTGACGTTCCATGCAAAAATTTAAATCACATTGCAAGCAAACTGCACGAGCTCTCCCAGCCATGTCCTGCAGCAAGTCAGCTTCCAGACAACTTAAGAAGTTATCGTCCATTACGTGCTGATCTTGCACAAGATCTGATGCACGAATCAGGAAAGTAATGTTGAGGCACTGGAGCAAGAGGGAGCTGACCAGCGACTATGCACTTTGTCGTGTTGATGTGAAACGCTGCTAGAATGCACGGTTTCACCTATGGGGGAAGGCTACACACTGGCATTCATATCGGAACCAAGTAAACCTGGTGACGCACGAGCTTTCAGACATGAAACGCCAGTGAAACCTCTCATCACATGGACTTTGTTATGTTCCTGTTTCCGCATGCGGACGTATCCATCAACTTCCTTTCACCCGGCTGAGTTACCTTCAGGCTGGTAGCAGCCTGGCTCTAGGACCGTCAGAAAGAAGGCGCATTTCAAATTTAGTGAATAGAGGACGCTCCAGGTTCTGCTCCTGCGATGGTGTAATATTTCCTAAATGCTTGCCCAAATCGAAAAGCTCGATCGATGCAGGTCGTCATGGCACTAAAAAACTGCATTTCCCAGTTCGGATAAAATAAGTTGGTACTGGTGCCTGCTGTCTGATTTAGCGTTCAGGAAACAAACGATTTTCAACTAGAACTGACGACGACGGCAATATTTATGCAGACTCTTAACACAGCTAGATGCACCCGAAGCTTTAGTCCGAACTTCTGGCATCCTATTTTGACCTCAACGGCAATGCCTGCCAGGGCTCTGATCTCACCTAAATAAGAAATACTGTTCGCCGGGGCCTTCAACTCATGTGATGAATGCCGTTTGTTCATCAGGACTCTTACCGCACCTTACCATTAAAATCGTATGCACTTAGGCTTTTTTGTCCCCTGACGAAAGTCACCTGACTGTCGAACCTTTAGGCTTACCTGACCGATACCACCTGGTTGCCAGCGCTTTGCTCTCACAGCGCTTTGATCTCACCTGTCCGAAGTGGCCTTCTCCGAGAATGCTCTGCAGTCTCAGGGTTTCGCGCGGGTGTTCCCAGCGCCTTCCTCGAGCCAGCGTGTCATGTGCCTGAAAACCAGCACGAATGTCACAGACCTCTGATAGATGAGCATGCATGCATCAAACTCAGTATACGGTAAAAGCTGTGTAGCAATTGTGGCACGTGAAAATGTGGATGCGTGCTTGTGTGACCTGATTCTAAGCTGCTCATCTACCTTACGGTGTTATCTGATTGGTGGTCACAGTGCTCAACGTACGCACCAAGCCCATACCACAATGTTTGAGTCAGTATACGGTCCTGTATCTTTTTCACGAGCGCAACAAAGTAAAGAAAATAACTGTAAATCATTGTAAAAAACATCGTGTACTAATAAGATTGAATATCAGTACATGTGGCAAGTTTTGCTTTGGCAGCAAGATTATTAAAGCACACTGAAATGCGTAAATTGCGTGATTACGTATATGTGCGAAATTCAATGCACGGTTGTAAGTACCACCGATTGATAGCTATTGCGCCATCTATTACTTGCTATTATGCAGAGTCACGCTTTCTGGCCGCACAGGTCAAGCTGCATGAGCGCACAGTGCAACTAAATAAACAACAACTAAATAAATATAAAACTAAGCACCAGAAACGCAAACGTGTAGCGTCTCAATAGTCCACATAACATTTATCCGTTCGGACTCAAAACGTGTTGTAGCACTTGAGAAACGAAAGATATTTTGCGGCTATACTGTATCACACAACACGAGCATTCGTACGGTACGCAACTTCTTTGTTACTCGCTTACTTAATTTACGTAAGGTCCAAGCCGTCTAACAGTAGGTGAAAAATCTGTTGTGATAAGACGGACACGCTGCAAAGTAAAGGTCGGCTGAATTGTTGCAGATTTTTTATTGCCATGACCTGCAAATAATTATTTTTGCAAAACCAAAACGAACTATTTCAGCCATTTCACTTCATCTGCATGCATATTTATTGCATCGTAGCATCTTATCAGGCATGACTAAAGCGAACTGCATGTCTAGCGAATGACCGAACGTAGGCGTGAATAAGATTTCGTCTGCAAATGGTTCGAGAAGCTTAACGAGGGACACCGGCTCATCTTCGGCCTCATGCATGGGCGACTCCTTGTTTGTTAACGATTGTTTTTCATTTATCCATCACCTAATGCTCTTTCAGTTCCGCTGCTGTGTTTCTGTGCAATACTTCTCCGTTGACTTGCGGTTGATGGCATCCTGCATCACTACGACTTTTTTATCGATTTAGTCAAGTCTTACCATTCCTTTTTCAGCAGCATAGACGATGTCACTGCTGCAGACAGCGTTATTAAGAGACGCGACTCTAAAACATGTCGCCAATTGAAATGGGCCCATTCCGCGTCTCGCCTTTTGACCCACGATCGATTCATTCTACTTTTCGGATTCAGCTCAAGGACCGTTCCGCGCCTCGCATTCTGCCTCGGGACCGTTCCGCGTTTCGGGCTTTGCCCTGGAACCGCTCCAGCCAGCGGCGAGAAACCGACGCGGTGTGAACGTCCCGCGCAGTTAGAGGAATTAGCATAGTAATACAAGGTCGTGCCGGGAGGTGATCCTCCCGGGCATCCGGACTGACGGACGCCCGTCGCACCAAAACGGATGGGTGTCGTGTTTGGACGCCCGCCCTCGTGCCACCCGTGGCGGTCCTGCGTAGGGGGCAACGCCCGGTCAAGCACACCAGCTTCTGGAACAACGACACCTGATCTTAGAACGGTCAGTTTAGGCTTATTGGATGTGGTCTGGGTATTGATCTCAACCTGAATTGGATGTGGTCTGGGTCTGGTCTGAATCTGATGTTATCTGCAAAAGGATATGACGGGAACTGGGTTTGAATTTTACCTGGATTTGGATATGGGTTGAATTTGTTTTGGATCTGGTATGATCTGGATCTAATTTGAAACATAGGGTGCTGAAGTAGTTGGTGTTGGTTTATCAGGCAATGAGGCTTTAGATATTTGATTGGTAAGGTGACCGCGTGGGTCATGTTTGGTTGATCAGGTGCTTGCGAGACAGATATTTATGTGTCAATGTGCTTATCTGCTGCTGTTTGGGAAATGGTGGTTTGGAGTGTCGGCATTCGTCCGGCCATTGAGAATCACGAACCTTCGGAGCATAGGTTAGGCAGAGAGATAGGATGCAATGGAAGAGTTAAATATAACGAAAGCCAGGGAAAGACAGGAAACGCGAGTGAAAAATTATAGATGACGACAGCTAGAGAAGGACGGGGGGAAGAGAAGAGGAAAAACGGAAACAGGTTGAAGCATAGGCAGATCATTATGATCCACTGACATGGCAGACAGAGACTAGAGAAGGCAAGAAAGAGAGAAGGTGGGGGAAGGGGTCTGCATAAACGGCCGTTTTTTCGTTGACCCGCTCGCACCGACAGCTGCTGCTGTGCCTTTCCATCCGTCTGAGAGTCTCGCATTTGGGGTCACGACCGCAGCAGCTGCCTAACGTAGCCCATCCACAAAAAAGCAGCAGCCTTTGTCGTATCCGGCGTCGGCTTCTTTGATGGACTGCCAGTGGTTTGACGTCTGGCTACTTTCCCTACCATATGTCGAGCTGTCTGACGGTAGTGGCGCTCCGGGCCTTCTCGACGGAGAAGAGGTCGGTGACCAGAAGTGCACCGTCTCGATGGTGCCGACATTTCTGCGGTGGCGAAGTGTTCATCCCCACTGCCAGCCATCATCACGCGCAGTTCATAAACGCCTTTCGGGCATTCTTGATCAAAATAACACGGCTCTGACTGCCCTAGCAGCGCTAATGATAACGCGTCCCCGACGGCCCTAGCAGCCCTAACAATAACACGGCCCTGACCGTCCTAACGCCTAAATTATAACGCGGTACTTACGAGCGACACTTGTAGCTAACCAACTTTTGGCTGTTAAAGTCAAGTTTCATTTCATTTGAAGGTGCAGTTGGCTCACTGGTCCCTGCTGGCAACCAAGCGCACATAGCACACACGCTGCTACCAGTGCTGCCCTGGCTGGCAGGGCGCGTGCTCTGCTCAGACCGGCTGTACCTGCGCTTTGTCTCTATGCGCTTCGACTAAGCGCTTCGCTTCGCATGTGTTTCTATGCGCTTCGACTAAGAGCTTTAAGCGGTTGGTCATGCGTTCTATATAAGCGTTCTATGTAGCCAATGGACGCATGTTTACGTCTTTTATTTTCTCGTGTGCTTTGCCAAAACGCATATATGTGAGGGCACAAACAGAGCATAATGTCAAGTTATAAAGTGGAACGTTTAAAGCTCACTCTCTCGGAGTGCATCCACCACCCTCCGGCCTTCCCTGAAGCTGTTTTTTTTTTTTGCTTTTTGTTGAGATTGTTTATAGTTGTGTTGCTCCTTGAGTTTAGGTCTCGGCCATTCCCTACGCACAGCTTAGCTCGTTTTCTTTAAAAAGCGTTTTGGGGAAAGCGTCATGTACTCGTGGTTGTCTCTAAACACACTTCTTTTGCATTTACCGTGTCACTAAACTTGCGTAAATAGAGGTAGGAGATAAAGAAGAGATTGTGCTGTGACGAAGTAGTCGCCATAAACAATTCGTGCACAAAATGCCAAAAATTAAGCCAATTCCAACGAATAGTGGTACGCTCACCACCATATTTTCCCACCACAATCCCACCCACATTTCCGTATGTCTGCATCTCATCCACCTGCTAAAGGCTGCACGTTTTTGTGGGCGACAAAACTAAAACGTAGCCACGCCATTATATGCCGCAGGAGAACTCTACGCCCGGCCACTCTGACGCAGCAGCGTCCTCCACACAGCGGCACGTGCAAGACGCGCATATTTCACCTAGCAATGCCAGGCGCGCCAGATCATGGCTACTGCAGCATTCTGCAGCGAGTGCCATTTCTGCGCGAGTGCAGAGCGGAGATGCAGACAGACGATCGTGACTGCATGACGTCATTTTTCTTTACGTTGGACAGCTGGGCCTGGTAGTCGTGATAGTGCCAGAGCGCCTGGAGAAATTTTGATAATGAAGGCGCAGCCCTGGTCGTTTATGTCCCATTACACCAACGTGCAGTAGCCAAGCAGCAGCACATAGACCTGACATATGTATTATAACGGCTTACATGACATTCCGTTTTCTTCTAAGCTACGGCGGCACGCGGGCGAGCTGTATTTTAGCGAGTGATCTTCAGTTGCCGAGGCGCCATCGGAACATTTGCACTCGCATGCAATCACAGTTGTGTGAATACCAGTCTGGGTTTGTTTTGAACCGGAGCCTGCGCTAGTTGATATCAGGAAGCAGTTTTTTGTGCGGCCTGCCTGCAACGGCACCGGGACTGGCTGGAGTGTCAGTGACGTGTACTTGAAAATGTATGACGTCATTATCCCGCTCATGTTCTCGTCAAAGCAAATCTGTCCTGGACATGGGAGAGGACTGCGGTGTAGAAGTTGGGGCTGCAGCTGCGTAGCCTCTCAGTTATAGTCATATGAATTAATAAACGTTAATTGATATGTATCATACCATTCAATGACCGTTTAACGGTTTTTGTTATGAAATATTCGTAACGACAGCTTTCCAAACTAGCTTTTTTCAAAGTTTTACGGCCGGCATTCTGTCCAAGATCAGCCATTAATGACAACATCAGCCGATTTTAACCGAACACAGCTCCAATCATCAACGTCAGCATGTGCTGACCAGTATTGACCTTCAGCGACTGCGCAATGGCAAACCAATCGGGTATGGGGGGGGGGCCTCCCGGTGTAGATCATAAACTGCATCGCTCCGCTCAGAGAATGTGTCTGCACGATGACCCCCTAAGCGATGCGTTTGAACTATAGTCCCATCATGCCCGCGCCGCATTCAGCTATAACTTTCAAATGGCAAAGCCAATGTAGTGGTGTCGTAAACGCCTTCACGTGGGCCATAAAGCGAACTACGCACTATTCATTTGATTGCGCTGCACGGTGATGACCAGCCTGCAGAAGGATCACAGGATATGTCATTCATGACATGTTGCAAAGCGACATTCCGAGGCTCCTGTGGTTGCTTTGTTAATAAAGTCATTATCGGCTA